AGTCAGAAGTAGATTAACAAATAATCCCAAAGGGGTTAATATAGTGATTGTTTATGATAGAAAACAAAACATCATATTTGTTTGGAAACATAAGTGCATTCTCTGGTACTGAAACATGATTTACTAGTTGCCAAAAATGTGTACCACGAAGTGACATTAGAATTAAAGGTGACTTGAATAATAAGGTCGTAGCCTACTGGGGAGTGTCAGTGAATGACATGGTTAACTTTTTAGATCTTATCAGTGCTGGTTAAAAATTGAATTGTAGTCAATGAATAAGGCTAGAGCCTCTACACACGAATCTATGTGCAGTGACAGTGCACATTCCCAGACAAAACTAAACACGTGTCTGCACTTAAAATAGTGTTCAGTGTGCTCCGTACTTGATGACATTCATTACTGGTTGATAAGTAAATTGTTTATTCAAGGCACTGGGAAGGAGCGATATTATTAATGCCATGCAAGAGACACATGGTGAAGACAATTACAACAGGGGGGACTCAGTATCACAGGTCAGTTTGGTGGAGTAGATAGACAGGAACATTTCACTTAAGTCACAAGGCGTTTGATCAATCAACACAAACTCAGTATCACAGGTCAGTTTGGTGGAGTAGATAGACAGGAACATTTCACTTAAGTCACAAGGCGTTTGATCAATCAACACAGATTCAGTACCACAGGTCAGTTTGGTGGAGTAGATAGGCAGGAACATTTCACTTAAGTCACAAGGCGTTTGATCAATCAATACAGACTCAGTATCACAGGTCAGTTTGGTGGAGTAGACAGACAGGAACATTCCACTTAAGTCACAAGGCGTTTGATCAATCAACACAAACTCAGTATCACAGGTCAGTTTGGTGGAGTAGATAGACAGGAGCATTTCACTTAAGACACAAGGCGTTTAATCAATCAACACAAACTCAGTATCCCAGGTCAGTTTGGTGGAGTAGATAGACAGGAACATTTCACTTAAGACACAAGGCGTTTGATCAATCAACACAAACTCAGTATCCCAGGTCAGTTTGGTGGAGTAGATAGACAGGAACATTTCACTTAAGACACAAGGCGTTTGATCAATCAACACAGACTCAGTATCACAGGTCAGTTTGGTGGAGTAGATAGACAGGAAAATTTCACTTAAGTCACAAGGCGTTTGATCAATCAACACAAACTCAGTATCACAGGTCAGTTTGGTGGAGTAGATAGACAGGAAAATTCCACTTAAGTCACAAGGCGTTTGATGAATCAACACAGACTCAGTATCACAGGTCAGTTTGGTGGAGTAGATAGACAGGAAAATTTCACTTAAGTCACAAGGCGTTTGATGAATCAACACAGACTCAGTATCACAGGTCAGTTTGGCGGAGTAGATAGGCAGGAAACATTTCACTCAAGTCACGAGGCGTTTGATCAATCAACACAGTCCTAGATTGGTTAGTGGTTTTACGCTTATGGATCTACTGAGGAGGAGATCAGGGCATGCATTTTCTAATGAATCTGTCCGGATTGCAGTGAGGATAGTCTTCACTAATCACTGTTTATTACATAATAATGACACCCTCATCATGAAGCAGGACTTCTGCAGAACGTCGCTCTCATCACGGTCTGCCTGAAAGAAACTTGGTCTCTCAGCAGCTCTCCTACCTCATGTACTTTCATATTCAAGGAGTCGCTCATATCATGTGCTCATCTTCATGTTGATCAGCCCCTGCCCTCCTTTTTGGTACCAAGCCTTCTTCTATTTTTGCCCCAATCTGCCATGGCGCTTGATATGACCAAAATATTTCATCTTCTGAGACAAGATGCTGTTATTAGCCAAACTTCCTTGATGCTCAGATCTTTTAAAAATTTTAAAAGAATAATAATAATCATCATCATCATCATAGTCCACTTCTGCCGTTAAGCGACGTGGGGAGGAATAATTTGCGTTCCAGTGCACGTTGGCTATTGTCATGCCGTGAAGGCGTAGAGTGTCTTTAATGTTGTCGATCCATTTTCCGCGGCCGTCCTCTTGCTCTTGTAGTTGGTCTTCTCGGATGTAGTGCTTGTGATGGTATTTGATCTTGCTGCATTCTAACGAGATGGCCAAACCACTTGATCTGCTGTTTCTCGATGAATCTAGTACAAGGTGTCTGTGACGAAATGACCTCAGTGGTCTCAGAAGTTATATTGTGTTTGATAATTTCTTATGTTCAGAGAAGGACAAAGAATTATAAGCAATATACACTGAGCCTAAAATAGTTCTAAAACCACTACAAGGGATTTGAGAATTGTTTAAACTTTGTTTCCAGTCCCTCGCCAGACAAAGCAACCTTGCTTTATGTAATATTACGGAATACTACTGTAGCTAGAGTTTCACCTGCCCGTGTCAGAATATTATCTCCTGCCCAGTCTGTAGAGGCGAGTAAAGGGGGAGATAACTTAGTGTCACACCTGAGATTAGCTCCCCTGAACCCGACCGTAGTGTCATAAAAGTTACATAACACACACTGAGTGGGGCCGTTTGATCAAACTAGATCAGGGGAATTAAGTGGTCTGGTAAACAGTTCTAGACAGGATGGCGTCCAGCGTCTGAAGTTTTACACATGATAGTGAATTTCTCAAGAGACCAGGTGTTTGCCAATTAAGTTGTCCGAGCACTGGTCAAGGCCGTTCACCTTGAGTGACAGGCCACTTGTAAGCTAATTTGATCTGCTAGGTACTTCAGAGGCGTGGCTTAAGTCATCGTCTTGGGGGTTGGGTAGAACCTAGTAAAGGGAGGAGTTTAATTGGGACAATAGATTGATACTTATACTGCGAGCATTGTAGATTTACCTCATAGTGCCGCCAGCAGGCCACAGACTCAGACCTACCGTAGAAAAGTATTTTCTCACTGGTTGAGTCGTTTTTGGCAAAATGCTGGAAAGTTCCCAGGTATGAGAAAATATTAATTTTAATCTTGTATATATAGGTTAGGGAGTTAAGCTTAGTCTATACTACATTTTCCTAATTTGTCTGCACATTCTGCTTGAAATAGTTCTTTGTGAGTATTCAGTATCTCAGTTAGGGAACTGCTAAACTATTCCTATTTCTTGTATGTTTGTGTCACATGTTTTTCAGGGTATGTTTTCATGTGTATAAAATAAGATGTGAACAATGACATTTGCTATAATGAAATGTAATTATATTGTTTCCACCATCAACCAAAATATGAGTTTGGACTGTGGGAAATGATGCCCAAATATGTGCAGGGATGCTGCTACGTTTGTGTGCCCACCATGTGCTCACTTAATGTGTTCACCTAAACACCGGATTTATAACCCCAGGGGAAGAATGATGGGCGTATAGACTTCACGGTCACTGAAAGATAATATTCAGGAACCCATGCACATATAACATGGTTGGAGTTTTCAGCACATAACCTGCTTCACGTGGTCATGTCAAATCAATGTCAGCCAGTTCGAAGTCTGAGTGATGACGGACAGCAGACTTAAAAAGTCAACTATCATGACATAGCATGAGAGGGAAGGCAGGATATGTGACGTCCATGTAAGACAAAAGACCTTCAGACTAGACTGGAGAGAATGTGGAATATGAGGAGTGATGGGATATATTTTATTATTATATGTTATATTAATTAATACATGTATTCTTAGTGTAAGTCAAGATACTACACGTATGTGTTTGTTTCCATGATTACAGCCTCCATGTGACGATCAGTCCATGAAAGAGACTACATTGTGTTAGACTCGGCCAGCTGGGAACAAGCTGGAGAACGAGGTGGGGACGAGCAGGGACCGAGGTGGAGGACCAGGAGAACTGGGAGGAAAAGGTGGAAGAACTTGACAGTACCCACGGCTGTCAGAGGTTCTATGATAATAAAGTTACGTCTCACCATGTTTTATGGATGTAAACTTATCACCACCATTATCCATTCACTCTAATCTTAGGTGCTCAGTTATCTAGCTGAAGCCTCTCATTATCACCATACCATCACTATCTATTATAACAATAATGATGAGTAATGTCATACTCTGATTGCTAGGTTAATAAATCAAATATATGGTCTTATCCTGCATCAGTTTTTGTAATTCCAAATGTGTCTGTTCTTACACGTTTAACTAAACTGTTAAGATAGAATACCATTTGGTGGGGGTTCAAATAATAATGATAATAATTCCTTAATTATTAATAATAACACCGGGAGAAGGTAGAAGACGGAGGAATCATTTGCCCTGTCTAATAATTCATCCAGTATAATGCTATAGACATCTAAAATTCCTTTCCTTCTCTTGTGGGTACCAAGTTCAGCTAAAGTTAATATAAATAACGAGCCAATATGGCTGTTTTCTTGGATATCCAGGACTTTGTCTGAGAGCAACATAGCCCGGATATTAGTTCAGTTAATCTGGTGGAGGGGATGTGTTGAGAGGAAATTCCCTACTCAACATAAAAATCATTTAAACCCAAATCCAGAGAACCCACGACCCGGGACGACACACTAAAAGTGTTGTAAATTCCAAGGGAGGGGGCCGCATCGTCACAGTGTCGTTCCCACAATTTGCCTAATTGTTTCATTATTCACTCGATCTCGTATGGTTAGGTTGGCTGCTTTTCCCAGGCACCTCATCTCGCAGGTGGTAATTTTGCGTATATGGGCTTTAGATAGTGTCCATGTTTGGCACTGGTAGCTTAATGTTGGAATATATATGCTATTAATAATCTGTCTCTTTGCACTCATAGTTATGCTTGGATGTCTTAACTCTTTGAGTCCCAAGGAACGCATCATGCGCTGATTGGTTTCTATCTAGCGGCCCAATCAGCGCATGACGTGTGATGGTTTTTAATTTACCACTTATCGGTAATTACACGTGAACCGCTCAATTTAAACTTCCTTTCCGGTTCTCAGGTGTGTATTGAACACACGTGGAGTGCATTCGTTTGTGTCTGGTGAGTTTTTAACGCTATAAATCTATATTTGTGTGGTCTACTACGCTACCAAACAATTGTCTGAAAACAATATGTCCGATCAGTCATCGTCTTCACGTCCAGCAAAGCGATTTACTGCTTTAGAAGCATCAAATTTGATAAAACACTGGATCGATCAAAGTGATGTGGAGTTAGATAATGAAAGTAGCGACGTGGAATTTCCCCAGCCCGTTGACGAGTCAAGTTCTGATGAGGAACGTGTGCGTAGTTTACCTCCTGCTAAGAGGAAAACATTAACTAATTCTGCCATGGCAACACAAGAGAATAGTGATGCTGAAGCACCTCGTAACGTGACATTAGCTAGTCCAAATGTCAGCGCTTCTAGTACTAGTACTACTAGTAGTACACGCCAGAATGATAGTCGTGGTCAGTGGAGAGGTATTACTGAGGGAAGAACACGATCAAGGTTTCTGTTCAAGCCTCCATGTCCAGCTGGTGTGACAGAACACTTGGATGTTTCAACCACGTTGAAGAGCTTCAATGTTTTATTTGATGGTGACATAAAAGAGTATTTGCTGAATCAAATAAATGATTTTGCCAAGATGAAGTGCCAGCAAAACACCCCAGCCTCAAAGCATTCCATATATGGAAGGTGGAAGGATGTAACAAGCTTGGAGCTGGACAAGTTTTTTGCTGTCCTCATCAATATGGGAATCCACAAAAAACCATCAATAAGACATTTTTGGTGTCAGGCCCCAGACATGCACACTCCATGGTTTGGCCACATGTTCTCCAGAAACAGGTTCCAGGATATTTACCACACTATGCTGCATGCTGCTGGAGATGAGGCAGAAGGGAAGGACAAGATTGAACCTTTCATCAATCTTGTTTTAGAAAAATGCAGAGCTGCCTTTTACCCCTATGAAAATCTAAGTTTGGATGAGATGGTAATTGGCTTCAAAGGCAGATGGCAGTACAAGCAATTCAATGCACAAAAACCAAAGAAATATCACATCAAAACCTTTGGTTTATGTGATGCTGCCACTGGATATGTTGTGAATCTGCTAGTCTACTTTGGTAGAGACACATCATACAATCCTGAACTCGATGCGGACAGTGGTCATGCTGTAAAAATCTTTTCAACACTTATGAAACCACTAGGCAAGGGCCACCACATTTTTTGCAGACAGATATTATACAACAAGGGTACTGCTTGATCATCTGCTGCAGCAAGAAACTTATTTTACTGGAACTTTGAATCTGAACCGCAAAGACTTTCCACCACAGCTACGCGTTCACACTGTCAACCACCTAGAAATGAAGTGGTATATGCATGAGACAGATAGAATACTTTGTGTCGCTTTCAAGGATAAAAAAGCTAAGAAAGAGGTAATTGTTGTCTCGACACATGCTGAGGTAGCAACAGTGCCAACCAAGAAAGGTATTATCAAGCCTGCAGTCATAGACAGCTACAACCAGTCCATGAATGGATGTGACTTGTTGGATCAGAAAGTGGGCTACTATGGCATTCACTGCAGAAAATCAATAAAGTGGTGGAAGAAGATATTTTTGTGGATGTTTGAGATTGTCCAAGTAAACAGTTATATCATATACTTGCTTAGTTCAGGAAAAAAGAATGGACTCCACGATTTCAAACGCCAGCTCCTGAATCAACTGACAGAAGCAAGTGCACAGGAACTGGTATCTACAAAATATACTTTGCAGCCAGAGGTTCTGTCTACCATCCCTGAGAATATACAAGGCTTCTCACTGGCAATTTACAGACAACAGGCACCTAATTACGTACAGAAAGCAAGATTTGAGGTGGGCTTTTTGCAGCCCACCATCCAAACCCAAGCGCACACACTTTTATTGTTCAGGATGCCCCAATAATCCCCACTTGCACCCCCAGTGTTTTGCTCCATATCATCTAAAACCATAGATATATATCTATGCACAGGTTGACTTGTTTACAGTGCTTTTACGGTTTTTTCTCTGTGAGGAATTCAATTGGTTTTAGAAAAGTCAGTCTGTGCCACTGGAAAATATATTTTGACGTGTTATAGTAGTGTTATTAAAATTGATATGGAACAAAAACTATTGCACATTTTGCTTTAATATTGGCTGTGCGTACTCATAAGTGGTGTACCTTCCTTTGTAATGCATTTTGGATATACTATATCAAGAATTGTGGGATCAGCTTTTGGGTAAGTGGAAAAAACGTGTTCATAATTTACTAACCTTTAAAACTAAGTCACTGTTTTCTTTACTAAATACAAACAGTATAATCGTTTGTTTTAGCAGCATGCTAATATTAATCCTTATCCATTTGTGTTTATTTTCATGTATGATATGTGTATGTTACACATCAGCTGTAGTTGTGTGATTTGTTTTAAAGTGCTGCATTTGTTAAAAGTCAAAATCATATTACCCCCCCTTGGGCCTCTGATGCAAAACCCCCTGGGACTCAAAGAGTTAATAATGGTGACAATTGGTATTTAAGTGCACTTGCTTTCTGACATCTGGTTTCTATTTCTCTGTCAATTCTACCATCTTCTGTGATAAATAAATAAAAGAATAGTGTGGGTTAAAAATACAGAGAAAATACTTTAAAAGTTAACTTAATGTTGTGGGGTACGCATGTTTGTGCTTCTTGTAAATGTGTGTGTATATCTGCATATCAATAAGAGAAAGTATTAATCTAGCACATACAAATTCACCACTTCAGACCTGCAGAATGTATCTGATGTCAATTATTCTACATCCAGCTAAATAAGATGGTGGCAAGGCAGGAATCACAAGTACTTCTCCACTCCACTGATCGCGTCCGAAAGCTCCAATGCCTGGTCTGGTAACACGAGCCACTTCTTTAAACTGCATCTTTGATTTGGTGGTAGAGTGGTATGTTATCATCTGTGGGTTATAAATAAAGAAACAATAAACAATTGCACAGAGTATTATCTGCAAGCAGTATTTTTGTATTTAGTGAGCTACATATGTCTGTGTACGTATGAGCACATAAAACTTCTTTCTCTCCGTACATATGTGTATGTGTGAGTGAGTGGTGCGTGCGTGCGCTCGTGCGTGCATGCGCCTGTGTGTATGTATGTATGAATGTATGTATGTGTGTATGTATGTGTGTATGTATGTATGTATAGTGCGTGTATATGTATGTTTGTGTATGTATGTATTTACATATAAGCTCTGTTTTTGAAAAGGGAAGAGCTCCTGCCAAATGGTCTGGGTCGTTACCGGCCACGAAAGTATACCTGGTCAAATGCAGCTTCTTTTGCTTTAAACGTTTATGAGGGGTTCAAGAATAGACGTAAGTGGCAGCACTTGAGCATGAGAATGCCTACATAAGAGTCAGATATGATATTTTGATATCTGCTCTTAGGGAGAAAGGAGTTTGTCCCTGGCTGATGAACTGGATAGCTACTGTCCGGCATTCACGTATGGCTGCCCTTCGCCTGGGCACATGGACCTCAGAACCATGTAATATCGCCATGGAACTACCTCAGGGTACTGCAATTTCACCAGTGCTCTTCAATGTGTATACAAACAAGATTGCAGAACTTGAAGCAGCAGGTGTTGAAAGGATATTGACATTTGAAGATGATGTTCTTTCATATAGTCAGGGACGTTATAGGCAAAAGACAGCTCATGAGCTGCAGGCAACTGTAGATAAAGTGACTGATTGGTGTGTAGAGATGGGTGCTGCCATCAAATCATAAAAGGTGGATGTTTTGTGGTGCTTTCTAGACGATAGAAATTCAAGAGCTAATGTTCCAAGCCTAACAGTTAATGACAGAAACATGGAAAGAGTAAGCAAACTGAGGTACCTGGGTATCATTTTTTATAAAATCCTGTCCTTCGGGGATCATATGGAGGCAGTTGTGGTCACATGCCAAAAAGGACTTTTAAAGCTCTCAAGATTATGGCAGCAATGAACATGAAACAAAGAATGCTGTTCACATCGTTCCAGCATGTAATCTTGTCGGCGATAGATTATAGACTTGGAATGCTCACCATATCAAAGATCAGCTGATGAAACTTGAACGCATACAGAATGAAGCCATGTGGGTAATTCTGGAATGTACAAGAGATGTCCCGGTTGTATGTATGGGATATACACTTAGACAGCCCATTTTTTGCAGATATGCTCAGAGTTCTGCAAGCAAAGTCTTATCTCAGAACAGCTGCAGACAAGAAGCACCGCCTGCATGAAGCCCTGGGTAGAGCTAAGGGTCACAGACTGAAAATAGGAATGTCTTGAATGGTGCAAGTAGAATCAGAAGTTCAACAAATGATTAATGACAACTGCCGCTAAAGTAATGTGATTATATATACAGATGGCTCTGTGTCAAGAAGTAGACGAACTGCATGGGGGTTCACAGCATAAGCGAATGGACGTCGCTTAGTGCAACAAAGCCTGGCATGTGATATCACAACGTCTAGCTTGAGATGGAGTTGGAGGCTGTCACTGCTGCCTTACGCTGGATTTAGAATCAACTGTTATCACATGTTATAACTGTAACTAACTTACAGACTAGATTTATAGAAGTGAAGACAGCATGCTCCGTACAGAGTGGCGAGCATCGCTTCAGAGGTCCCGGGTAGTTAGCATCCTTTGGATATTTTCTGTGTGTCATGCTGGTTTGTTGGGAAACGAGCAAACATATAGATTGGATGGTTCTGCACCACTTGGTGGTGAACTGATGTTTAATAAGCTAGATGCTGCGAGAGCCCTTTGAGAACGAGTAAACAGTGCGAAGGAGGCACCAATGATCACTAAGGTCCGAGAAGAATGCCGCTGTGGAAAGTTACCGGGGGATCTAGCCAACGCTCAACATTCTAAGGAAAAGCAAGACGGATGTATAATCAAATAGTTACTAGAACCATCGGAATCGGAACTCTTCGCTTGCTGTTGAAGAGGGGACGGAGCGTCTATGAAAGTGTCCAGAGTGCTATGAAGTCGACTTTTAATTCAGCATTCAATATTAGTTTACCTAATCTGACAATCTGGTCAGTACAGATCTGTTGAGCTGAAAATTGGCCTGTTCATCTCTTAGCTTTTTATCAACAGCGTCCTTTATTCTTTCCAAAGTTATCCTACTTGATATTTTTCCAGGAACTGACAGGAACATAATTCCTCCATAGTTTTCCCTACCCCTATAGATCACCTTTGTGTGTGAGTGTGTACGTGTGTGTGTTTGCGCGCGTATGTGTGTTTGTGTACGTGTGCGCGTGCTCAATTTCACAAGGTATCCTTCTCTGTTGGTATTTCCTCGGTCTAAATTATATATGTAGTGTTTCCATTGATGTGTTTATATTGGTCTTAATATCTTAAGATGGGATACCATCTGGACAGGCTGCCTTTCCTTCCTTCAGAGATTGATAGCTTTACTAATTTCCTCTTTAATCTCCTCTTTCTCACAGCTGATGTCCAATTCCATTTCTAACGGCTGGATATCTGGAGGAACTGCATTTGGTCTATTCAGAAGTTTGTTTAAAAATATTCAGCCAATCTATTTGATTGTTAATGTTGGTGAGTAGCCTTCTTCCTTGACTATTTTTGATTGATCCAGTTGGCTGATTATGTTTCCTATTAATTTCCATGTGTTACTATAACAGTCTCTGATGTTTCTTTTGCTGCTGCTGTCTCCGCCTCTTGTGCTAGGTAATCTAAATATTCTCTCTTTTTTTGGCCGTTTTTCGCCTCCTAACTTCTTTTATTAGTTTATGTGTCTCCCCCCCCCCCCCCCCCCCTTTCCGAGCAAATTTATACTGGTACTATCGGTACTGGAACTTTTTGCCTGAGTGCTGTCGACTGTGACTGAGCACTTATAGATATGTCAACACTGCAATGATATCGGGCCTTAAGTCAATTCAACTCAACTCAATTAGAGAATACATTAATTTGTTTCTTACTGTAATTGTAGGTGAAATAACCAAACTGTTGACATTAACTCACCATTTTGAGGTCTACATAGGACTTGTCTATTCTTTGGTTGGAGTTATTATTTATTTCAGCAAACAGTCTGATCGCTTCCCCTGGCACATATCCAGCTCTATCAACATAAAAAGTGGCTTGGATTGGTCCGGATTTACCGCAGCAGCAGCAGCAGCAGCAGCAGCAGCACTGTGTCCTTTGGTTTGTTCCTTCAATTCTTTGCTTAAAATAAAAAAAATAAAAAAACATCGCCATTATTGTTTTATAGTTAGTATGTCTAAGGCAGTGTTTTACCAAATGAAGAATACCAACAGTATATCCAGTCTTTCCCTTGTGAGGTGCAATTTTTCGTTATTCTGAAGCCCCGCCATGGCTTTTCCAGGGACCGCAATATAGACCGGCCATAAAAATGGCCTAATGTCTGAACGCGGTTTCTGTGACCTCTCCACGGGTGATCCTCATCCACATGGCGGCACTTTGTGTCATCAGGTGTTTATCGCTTGTGTGATGTCCTAGTGGGGCAAGAATCTGCTACTACTACTACTACTACTACTACTACTACTACTACTACTACTACTACTACTACTACTACTACTACTACTAATGAAGAATATTTGTTGCAAACTTTCTTTGTCATTTGAGACGGAAAAAAAGAGAATTCTCAAGATGTATACATACCATATACGAATACCCTGAAGTGAATTATGGAGAGTAGAACATTTAGTAATTTTCTTTTTTAGATTGGGGGGGGGGGTGGATGTATGATAGACGAATGAGGGGAACATCCTGGATATATTAAAAACAGGAATCAAGGTGTAAAGAAAGAAACTGACTCACTAAAACAACTGAGTCCTCGCATCAGAAGGAGACAATTAACATACTTTGGTGATTTCATGAGAAGAGGAAAACTGGAGTACGTCAAGACGATGTGAAAGTTTAAGGGCAGAGAATGCAGAAAGAGACTAAAACAGAAGATGCTGAACAGTTTAACAACATAGCATGGAAGATCATCTATGTCAGTACGGGGCCGTCGGTAGGGAAGGCCTAGTTGCCGACGTCATCAGCTGGACGTGACGTCACCACCCCCAGGCTAACGATATGTTCTGTGTTCACTCTCACAGTACCGTTTTTTTTTTTTTTTAGGTGTGTTCCCGGTCATCCCCTGAGTACTAGCCCATAAAAATTATAGCAATAAGTTCAAGGCTATTCAACATGCAGCACGCAGGCCAAATCTGGCCCGACGAGGCCGAGTGAGTGACCTTGCGGATCATTGCTTGTCATGTTAAATTAATGGTCTTTCTACATTGGGACTCGGACGTCTGGCCCATAACGATCCCTAATTTCACAGTGTTGGTCCCTGAGTAAACTTAAATTGACTAACTTAGTTGAATAGCCCTGGATGTAGGTATTCCCAGTATGACATAGAAACAGAAGGCACATCATAAATTACTTATATTTACACAATATGACATAGAAATAAAAAGCACAAAAAAACTATTTAAAATGTAGCTGTCCGAATTGTAGTCACATAATCCATGTTAATCCATTACAGAGTGAATATAGCCAGTTGTCTTTTCTTGGATGATTTGTCCAGCAAGGATGCATCGTTTTGTATTTTTCTGTAGTTGTTCAGGGGAAAAAACATTTGCCAGAAATAGCAGCGCCTTGGAAGCAATGTTTACTTTAGAACAACCCCCTGCACAGACACCACCTATTTCATCATTGAAATATACGTTTAAACTGCATGAAACAATATGCATAAGCAATTTTTTGTGATGTTCGCATGCTAGAAATTTTGTTTCCAACTCAGCTTACATAAGCTTATGCACAGCTGCTTATGCTACAAAAGTCAATAAAATTATAAACTTTGAAGGGTATGTACTAGAAGCGAAAATCCCTAAGTACCAAGAAAAAAAAAATTAAGAAAAAGAGTTCGTTAGGCGGGAACTAGAAACAGAAAAATTCTAGCCCAGACATGATATCTACTGTGTATAGTCTAGATCAGCTAAGCAACAAATAAACTAGGCACACCAACCACAAGTCCTAATCTGAACTAAAAACAACTGGAACTATGATTATCACATTGAACATCTGTTTATTTCACTTAACATAAAATCAGCGTGGTTCACAAACAACAACATTAGCAACGACCAACGTGCTCGACCAGAGGCAGAATCTAAAGTGCTATTCATCGCCAGCTAACAAGGAAATATGATAAAGACACCAAACGCTCAACGAGGTTACCTCGACAATAGCAAAAACCGAAACATATTTAACATATACGTTAAGCTTTAATATACCGCCAGACCAACAAATCAGCTATAGCGACCTGCCATCAAATTTCTCCTGGCGGGGATGCACAATGGAAATCAAATCTAACACCACCAAAGCAAATGAAACGTACCGCAATCCAGCCAGACAAACGGCCTTTTCCTCCAGTTGCCTGGACCCACGCTGTCTAGCCCTAATGTGCAGAGAAACAACAGCTAGGTTGTTATCTTATAGGGTCAGTCCGGAAGTCAACATGGCCAAATAGTGAGTGAGCTGGCCTTTTTATACACAGTGGCCAGACTTTTGCGCTTTCGTAAACCAGACTAAATGAATGTATCAGCCAAACAAACCAAAATCGACAATCTGCTTAACAGCAGTCTTTGGAGTTCTCGAGTCTATCACATGTCCACCCAATATTTTTGTTGACGTCCAGGCAACTACACAATAGATAACAATTATTGTCTACAAATCCTCCTCCAACTCTTGTTCTACATCCCACAGAGTTACTGGCCATAGCCACCTGAAATAAAATCATCTTCCTGACATCACATAATCACTAGCTACTTGCAACATCATTCATTAACATACACCCAAAAATAACTTTTAGTTTCTTTTCTGCTTCTAAAACTTTCTGAAAAGATACTAGATAGTTTGCTCCTGATAACTGAGCTTTTAAGTTGTCAGTGCAGCTTTCCAAGAAGTATAAAACTGGCTTCTCTGGTTGCAAACAGATATTTGATTAAGGAAAGCATTGCGGTCACTGCATGCAGTAGGGCACTGTGTGTTTCCTTGGTCAGTTTTTCTTGACAGCCAGTCAGCTTGTCCCACTTTTCACCGATAAATAGGATGGAAGATCTGGAAAGATTGTTGGATAGGCAACTTTTTGTAAAGCGTGATTCTTTTTTTTTGGGAGCATATCTCAATTCCAGATTTGTCTGTGTAATTACCAGACAATAATATCTGACGTACGAAAAGGTTTCACACATACTACACTGGCTTTCCATGGAGTCCAATTTTTCAAATAAATTTTGTGTGTGCTGATATTTGTCTCTTAAAAGAGAGCCCAAAGGAAATCTAAACACACTTACATATCCACTATAAAAGTCATAATTAGAGCGATACTCGGGTACAGGATATGTGGCTGGCGTAGTTCTACGAAAACCAACACACTGAAGATAAATCCGAAGCGAATCACACAAATAACCTACTAAATCTACTCCCTGAAACACCACTTATAAGTGAATCAGAAGTGAAGATGAAACCATTTACTAAAAACTTATAAATATTACTTTGCAATAAGAAAAATATAACCCAATGTCAGACACCTTCTTATAGGTGTGACAGAGGTACCGTTATTATTTGTGTTAGTATGCCCGCACTTTCGCTGACATGTAAACACTGATTACCGTGTTTCCAGGCCTTAAAGAATGTTTTTTTTTTTCAAGTACTTATAGTAACTGTAGAATTAGTCTGGCTTCCACACAAAGTTATCGACTACTGAGTAGCCACTCATAGATTCTTATAGCTCAGAAGCACACTAATCCCAGGTAGTCACTTGCAAAGTGTATCAACAGTGCGCTGGTATAACTGTTCACAAATCATGCTAGCAATATGAACAAAGTCATGAGAGGCTAGCGGGTGCATCTGGAGAAATAATTACGTATCATCCTGGCTACAACAACTAACCTTATAATTCCGGCTACACAAAAGACACACTTGTCACAAGTATAAACAACTACTGCTGTCCTCTCCACAGCCTTAGATCCAGCCCGTGCCAAGCGAAAACAATTGCCACATTTCAGATGTACCAAACAGACACATTCGTTCACTGGACTGTCAAACTACTAACTGCCGCGTATTACTCTACCCGTTTGCCAAGACCCCTTGTAACCTCCCTCTTAGTTAACCTGACAGCCCTCCCTACTGGTCTTGTCTACACACAGCCCATCTGATCAGCAATTGACCTGTCTGCTGCTATGAGTCCGAGTCTAGTCGTTGTTTGTCTTTCTCTCACAGTGTGTTGCTGTCTTCCCCCAGAGGCCATTACCTTGTAGTGGTGGGGGAGCTTGAGAGCCTCAATGATCTAATGAGCTATGCCGGCGAGAACGTATGTCCCTGACAGGGTCACTCAAGACGAAAAGGTATTTGGCGTGGGGTCAGAATAAAATGGCCTCCCGGTCCTTCAGGCTCGAGGGTTGGGCGCAGTGTTGACAGCTCTGCCCTGTAAAATATCTACAACGTTACTGAAACTTCAAGAGGAAATAAGTGCTCTAAACGTCCGGTGGTCTTGGGACAGAGTCCCTCTGTCAGCATGAACAACATGGGTGAAAGCCGAAAGGAAGCCCATGATGGGAAAACAAGTCTGCTGGATGTCAAAACCAAATTAAGAATTGGCTTCTGGAATGTAAGAACCATGTTTGAAACGGCCAAAACCGCCCAAGTAATAAAAGAAATGCGGAACTATAAACTGCATATTCTTTGAATTAGTGAAAGCAGGTGGACAGGGTTTGGACAATCCACAACAGGTACAGGAGAAACAATAATATACTCTAGAAGAGATAATAACCTACATTCTGCAGGCGTGGTACTTATTTTAAAGAAAGGTATACACAAACATCTCATCGAGTGGCATCCAATCAATGAAAAAATAATGACAGCACGATTCAATGGGATACATGCCAAACTTACAGTCATCCAATGCTACGCACCGACTAATGAAGCTGAAGATGAAGATAAAGAAACATTCTTTTGGAGACTGCAAGAGGTAGTAGATAAAGTACCAGCCCATGATATTATATGCATTATGGGAGATCTCAATGCAAAAGTTGGTAACAACTACTTGAATAGAGGATTATCAATGGGAAATCAAGGATGTGGTACAATTAATGACAACAGGGAAAGACTGAGCGACTTCTGCACGGCGAATAGACTTGTTATATGAGGAACACTATTTCCTCACAAGAATATACACAAGCTTACATGGACATCACCAAACAGAAGAGATGTAAACCAGATCGACCATTTCATGGTAAACAGAAAATGTCATGGGTCCCTACTCGATGTGCGTGTCAAAAGGGGAGCAGATGTGGGAAGCGATCATCACATTGTAGTCGCTCTACTGCGACTTAAGCACAAAAAAGTTTACACGCAAGTTTAAGACACAGACAGCACGTTACAATGTTAACCTTTTAAGAGAAAAAGACATTGCCACTAAATTTATAGTAGAACTCAAGAATAGATTTCAAACCCTATCAAGTGACCCAGATACTCCAACTACAATCAGCATTCAAGACAGATGGAACCAGATCAAAGAAACATACAAATCAACTAGCAATAACATATTAGGAACCAGGAAATAACACCACAAAGAATGGATAAGTAGTCAAACCATGGACTATATTGCCAAGCGAAAAAGAATAAAGAGCCTCATAAATCACACTAAATCAGAACGTCAGAAAGACAAACTAATGTTAGAATATAGCGAACTAAATAAAATGACAAAGAAAAGTGCCAGAGCTGGCAAGAGAAGAATTATGGAAAATCTTGCAGAAACAGCAGAAAATGCTGCTGAAGCACATGATCTACAAACCCTACACAAAATTACCCAGCAAATTTGCGGAGGCAGAAACAATTATCACAGCATACCTATCAGAGATAACCAAGGCAGACTGCTCACCACAGAACAAAAACAAGACATGCAGTGGACTAAACACTTCTCCTACCTCTTGAACAGACCTGATCCTGAAAATCCCCCAGATATTGAACCAGCCTCTCAGGAAATTGACATTACTACTGAACCACCAAGCAAACCAGATATCATTAAAGCTATCCACACTTTAAAGAACAACAAAGCACCAGGCAAAGACGAACTGCCAGCAGAACTTCTCAAAGTAGATCCCAACACAACTGCTAGCATTCTAGAACCATTGTTCAAGGATATTTGGGGGAAAAAAAGTGTTGCCTGATGACTGGACTGAAGGAACAATAGTCAATATCCCTAAAAAAAGGAGACTTAACAGACTGCAATAATTGGAGGGGAATTACTCTACTCTCAGTACCAAGCAAAATATTTTGTAAAATCATCATAATGCGGCTTGAACAAGGAGTAGATAAATGCCTACGAGTGGAACAAGCAGGATTCAGAAAGGGCAGAGGAACAACTGAGCACATCTTCGCCATACGTAACATTTTAGAACAATGCAATGAATGGCAGAGATGTATATATATTAATTGTGTGGACTTTGAGAAAGCTTTTGACAGCGTCCATAGAGACGGTCTGTGGAAAATTTTACATTATGGAATTCCAGAAAAAATAGTCAACATAATTGCTCTCTTCTATGAAGACTTTTCCTGCAGTATAAAAAATTACAATACATCTTTCCCAGTAAAGACAGGTGTAAGACAGGGATGTGTTATGTCATCTCTCCTCTTCAACCTTGTGATTGATTGGATACTAAAGAACACAGTAGACAGGACATTAAGAGGCATACGATGGACTCCATTCACCATGCTTGAGGGCCTTGATTTTGCAGATGATATAGCACTCCTATCACATAAACATGAACATATATAAGAGAAAAGTAACAGACTACACTGCACAGCAGAAATGGTGGGACTGAGAATAAATACAAAGAAAACTAAGATCATGACAAACAGTCCAAATCAATAACCAGTGACCACAAGTAACCAATCACTTGAAAATGTAGAACATTTCACATATCTTGGCAGTGTGGTGTCCCTACTGGGAGGGACAGAGGAAGACATACAGTCACGCCTGAACAAAGCTAGAGCTGCTTTTGAAAGGATGAGGCAAATCTGGAAATCCAACAATTACTGCAGAGAAACAAAACTCCGACTCTACAAGAGCACCATTTTGCCAGTTCTTCTTTATGGAGCGGAGTGCTGGAGAATGACCAAAAAGGATGCACACAAGCTTTCCACCTTCCACCACACATGTCTACGTAGAATTATCAAAATTTTCTGTCTGTACAATCTCAAACACTAATCTACTTCAAGCCACAAACCAAAAAACTTTAGACAGTATGATTACCAAGAGAAGGTGGAAATGGCTTGGCCACGTTATGAGAATGACTTCTGATAAACCTGCCAAAACAGCTCTCACATGGACACCAGAGGGAAAGAGAAAACAGGAGCGCCCAAAAACAACATGGAGATGAACGATGTAAAGTGACCCGAGTGCGGCATCTTTGACATGGAAAACTGCACTGAAGATTGCACAAGACAGGAAAGCATGGAAAGTCCTCTCTGAAGCCTCATGTGCCACTAGGCATAACGTGAACTGGTGACTGATGATCACAGTGGGTTGTAAAGTTGACTCATGACACCGAACACACACTGAAACAAATATATCATCCATTTTGCGTTCGACTTAGTTCGTCACCAAATTAACACCAGAACCTATACTGACGACATCCACGGTCAGAACTGATTGAAAGTACACAAGATAGAAGATTGCGGATAAATAGGACCATCAACGCCACATGGCATAGACTATGAGAAGTCGAATGTCTCAACTGTGAGAAGCATCTGTCTAATAACTGAATGTTTGCCCGTCGGCCTTAAAATAGCATAAAGTCAGATAGTTATAATTGTTTTGGGCTTTAGGTAGACAGAATAAAGTGAGTACCAGGTAATGTTCTTGGAAGTAAAGACAGTCTGTGTGATGTTGACTACATTACCAGTCAAGTAACACTAGTCTATTTTTTTAAAGTAGGTTTTAAGACCATTTTCCCAATGCAGCATTGGCCTGAAAAGGATTCCAGATCAAAAATTCAGGTCACCTTCTATCATCAGGTCCTTTACATAACGTCGCTCTCAACACGGTGAATAAATGTCTCTTTCTGTAGCCAATTCTAGATGTGTTTTCTTGTATCCATCTTCGCGGAGGTCTGCCTCTGCTTCTGTACCCTCCGCCACCATTCTCATCAGGCCAGTATGACGTTTGAAATAAACAAAAAACCACTCAGCTTTTGGTACAGGATGTTGCTTATGGGAGTGCTATGATGTCGATTCTCAGTTCAACATTCTATCATTCTGAAACAAGCTCTCCATTAGAATACTTAACCAATCTGTTCTTACTGCGCCAATCAAGGACCAGAAATGTACCAACAAACCACAGCAGTATAACTATAAGAGTTTTAAACTTTATACTGTCCAAGTCAGCGTCTGTGGCTTAGGCGTTGCGAACGCGCTTCGTAATGTCAGGGTGCCTGTTGGATCCTAACTGCAGGCCTTGTGCCTTGCGTTAGTTTCAACAGTGGTATCAAGAAGCAGACCGTCCAGAAAGGAATGGCAAACTACTGGACGTAAATTTGCCAAGAAAAATCATAGCAGCCAAAAAATGCTGGGGTTCGTTCTGCAACGTCATGTAAAGGATACGCAACTAACTTAATAGTGTTGAAACATACACTAGTATCTATTTAACTTTGCTCAAATTCATTTACCAAGTAGGACAGATGGTTGAGTTTTTTCTCGGCAAAAATTTTTTTTATATTCAACAACTGTCTGTTGTAAGCTGTCGGCGTCTGTAGCTTGGCTTTGCGAACGTGCTTCGTAATGCCGAGGTCCTAGGTTCAATCCCAGCTGCATGCGATTTGGCAGTAGACCATCTTGCGTTGGTTTCGACAGTGATAGCGAGAGTCAACAGGTCAGGAGCAATGGCAAACTACTAGACATAAAATTGCCTAGAAAAACTACAACAGCTAAAAATGTTGAGATTGGTTCTGCAACGTCCAGTAAAGGATACGCAACTAACTATTGTAAGCTATGTACTATGTTACACAATGAAACGGACACTAAGTATACTCACCAAACAGTCTGGCATCTGATTTAAATCCAGCATGCTGAGAATGGTGAATGGCCGCTTTGTGGTGTGATCAATTTTCCAGGGCTTATCTATTGTGCACTGAACGGTATATCGGACGTGGCCATGCAAATCCTCAAAAGAAGATGGAAGACCTTGTGGAATTTGGAATTGAAATGGGAAAACATGTCGTCCCTGTGCTAATTCAACGGTACTGGTGCCTTGATTGGGAACTGATGAAAAACACAGCAGAATATTTATATTCTACAAAGTCTGCTTTCGGCAACAATTCTATACATGAAAGAAAACGTACTAGTCATATTACAGAATTAATATATGATTGTCATAAAAATACTTATGGCCTTAATGACAACAGCTCGTTGGCTGCTCTATGATAGTGATATATATCCTACACACAAACCAACTCGGCACCCTCAGAACACACAAATCGGCCTTTAATATCGTTACATAAAACAGTAGGCAGTTAGCCCCAGAGGTGCTTAGAGTTACAACCCTACCTCAGCCGGCAGAAGTGCTTTAAAACCACAGTTCACACACTGGTCATCCAGTTTTTTTTTCCAGGCATTAACCGAGTCCGAACCAACATCCTCTGATAAAAACTCTTTTCTGCGCCTTTCCAAACTACACCATTTCCGGTTCACGACTGCAAAGCTCTGTTTGGTGGTGTGATCGGACAGACTACGCCACACGCTGAATAGCCTGAATACAGTTTCCACGACATCATCATATTCTTCTTCTGAAACTGTCAGTCCTTTCCGAACCACCTCGCTAATAAGACAATCCCGATCAGCACAAAGAAACATCCCATGCAAAGCTTTTCATCCCCACTCTACGCTGCCAGAGAAAGACATGATTAGTCACAACCATAAAATACAATTATTTAATCCGGAAAAGAGCAAAGAAGGGAGTGACCAGAAGAGATAAAAGGTAAAGGTAAAGTCGGGAAATGTGAACCAGCGTCATTGCACACGGTTATAAACCGTAAGTGCTCTGCCACCAGTACGGACAGCTGATAAGAAAATGTCCGCCAGTGTAGCTTCAGCGACGTTCCTCCATTTACCCCAGAGTGTCACTCTGGTACGCATTTCCTAGAGGCTGGGTGAACCCCGGGAACCGCCCGGTTTCAAACACCGACCGTGGCTGCAGCGAGTCGCAGCTGGATTTGAAAGCGAGCCTCCTATCGACTGCGCTAACGCGGCTCCACCAGAAGAGATTAAATCAGAAATGAGGTCATACGAGGAAAAGTTTGCATATAACCAATTCTAATTTACATACAAAGACAATTATTCGTCCACTTAAACAATATGCCCCGTGGCGCCATAATTTACGAGGCATACACCAAAAGAGGAAAAGGGCGCAGAGCACAATGTAGTTTGTAGACCAAGAACAAGATAGAAAGGTCATATCAGAGGGACTAAACAACAGTTCGATGTGTTTATGATAGAGACAGCAAGAAACAGAAGAACATATCTCCCTCGAGGAAGTGAAGAAGAAGAAGTGATAAGGTCCAAGATTTATTAACCCTAACAAATAAGACACAATGATAAACTTACAAACACCAAGCAGTAAGCTGTCTTGATTAAGGTAAACTTCACTTGAAGAGTAGGGATCAGTTTCCCCCCGTCTGTTCCCTGCACCAGTTGAGTCTGTTTCAGTCCATTGCACATAAGCCTTTCCTTCAAAATGCAATGTTATTCCTGGAGAAGAAAAAAAAATTAGATTTTTCAAATACACTTCTCAGTGGGAACATTTACAATATGTGTTTAATACTGTTTTACTGGTGGTTATCAATACACTTCTAAGTGGGAACATTTACAATATGTGTTTAATACTGTTTTACTGGTGGTTATCAATACACTTCTCAGTGGCAACATTTACAATATGTGTTTAATACTGTTTTACTGGTGGTTATCAATACACTTCTCAGTGGGAACAATTACAATATGTGTTAAATACTGTTTTACTGTTGGTTATCAATACACTTCTCAGTGGGAACAATTACAATATGTGTTAAATACTGTTTTACTGGTGGTTATCAATACACTTCTCAGTGGGAACAATTACAATATGTGTTAAATACTGTTTTACTGGTGGTTATCAATACACTTCTCAGTAGGAACATTTACAATATGTTAAATACTGTTTTACTGGTAGTTATCAATACACTTCTCAGTTCGAACATTTACAATATGTGTTAAATACTGTTTTACTGGTAGTTATCAATACACTTTTCAGTGGGAAATATTACAATATGTGTTAAATGCTGTTTTACTGGTGGTTATCAATACACTTCTCAGTGGGAACATTTACAATATGTGTTAAATACTGTTTTACTGGTGGTTATCAATACACTTCTCAGTGGGAACATTTACAATATGTGTTAAATACTGTTTTACTGTTGGTTATCAAAAAACTTCTCAATGGGAACAATTACAATATGTGTTAAATACTCTTTTACTGGTGGTTATCAATACACTTCTCAGTTCGAACATTTACAATATGTGTTTAATACTGTTTTACTGTTGGTTATCAATACACTTCTCAGTGGGAACAATTACAATATGTGTTAAATACTGTTTTACTGGTGGTTATCAATACACTTCTCAGTGGGAACAATTACAATATGAGTTAAATACTGTTTTACTGGTAGTTATCAATACACTTCTCAGTGGGAACATTTACAATATGTGTTAAATGCTGTTTTACTGGTGGTTATCAATACACTTCTCAGTGGGAACAATTACAATATGTGTTAAATACTGTTTTACTGGTAGTTATCAATACACTTTTCAGTTGGAACAATTACAATATGTGTTAAATACTGTTTTACTGTTGGTTATCAATACACTTCTCAGTTCGAACATTTACAATATGTGTTTAATACTGTTTTACTGGTGGTTATCAATACACTTCTCAGTGGGAACAATTACAATATGTGTTAAATGCTGTTTTACTGGTGGTTATCAATACAATTCTCAGTGGGTACATTTACAATATGTGTTAATTGCTGTTTTACTGGTGGTTATCAATACATTACTCAGTGGGAACATCTACAATATGTGTTAAATACTGTTTTACTGGTGGTTATCAATACACTTCTCAGTGGGAACATTTACAATATGTGTTAAATACTGTTTTACTGGTGGTTATCAATACACTTCTCAGTGGGAACATTTACAATATGTGTTAAATACTGTTTTACTGTTGGTTATCAATACACTTCTCAGTGGGAACATTTACAATATGTATTAAATACTGTTTTACTGGTGGTTATCAATACACTACTCAGTCGGAACATCTACAATATGTGTTAAATACTGTTTTACTGTTGGTTATCTATGGTAGCGTCCTTCACCTTTCTATACCCTCGGGCCGAAAAACAAAGGTAACTTGTTTCGCGGACCACTTGACGGCTGGTCAAAAACAGCAGTTTATCCTCATCCACATTATCAATTTTAACGTTTGCCGTTGAGCGTCATTGGAAGGAACAGTTTGCGATCTTACTGCTGATGTATAGCAACAGCTGATGTCATTCCATGCCAGTGTAGACGGTTTATAATGTTATCACATAGGATCGTTTCTGTATAGTGACTGTGATGGTAATGTTGTGACTGCAATATAACGAGATGACCAAACCATTTGATCTTCTGTTTTTTAATGAATTTGGTGCATGGTATTGTTCCCATAGTCTGTCTGATAGTTTAATCTATCATTGACTTGAATGGTAAAGTTTCCGACCGTCCCCAAGCATCTTATTTCACATGTATTATTTTTACTTAGATTAGCCTTTGATAATGTCAGGGTTTTGTACTTGTAGCACAGTGTTGGTGTGAATTTGCTGCCTGTAATGTCTGTAATATGCTTTTGGCGGTCATAATTATCTTCGAAAATTTTCATAATGGCGTAAGTTGGTATATAAGTGCTCATTTTCTCGTTGGCGTCTTGATTCTATTTCACAATCTATTCTCCCACCCTCCAACAATTTACTTCCTAGATATTTAAATTCTCTAACTCGCCTCAGTCAAGTACCATTCAACCCTATATTGGGCGGATTAGGTATTCTGCTGACCTGCATAACTTCGGTTTTAGTTGTATTTTCTTCATTTTATTTCTTCTGCATGTCGGACCTAGTCTGTTTTAATTCTTCAGCACTTTAATTCTTCTTACTACCTTGCTTCACTGGTCATGTAAAAGTTTCTTCAGAACAGCCCCAACTATCCTTGATACACCTTAAGTCACTCGATGTCTTTGTCCATTCGATCACTTTAACCTACTAGTCGTGTCTCCAACTATAGGTCTGAACATCTGTTCCATTTCTCGGCTGCCTGGTTGTAACACACCTGACGTTGTCTTGCTGTACATTCACAAGGCTTGTCAACCATTCTTCGAGGAGGCTGTCGATTCTTTTACTACTTATAGCCGTTAACTAAATATAGATATTGAACTGAACTATTCTTCTGTTGGACTCAACAAACATAAAATATACCTCTCAGTTTCATAGGTTCATTTAATTCCACGGTGACTTGTCCCTGTAAGATGCTGTCTACATGGTAAAAACCACTTATGTTGGAGAATGAGATCTCAAAAATGTTCAACTCTGACATTTTCTTGAACCTGTCAACAAAGCTGAAAATAATACGAGTGAAAATATGCAAACAACGTAGTAATGTGCGGAAACTTGGAATGTTATGGTTTACCCTAACGAAAAATATAAATTAATATAGCAATCTTTGAATGTGAAGACATAGAGTACGTAGTGCGAACAGGTAATGGTTTTTTTTTTTTTTTTTGACTGGTTTTCAGTTGAAACACGAGGGTAAACATGAATAATTTTTCTCCTCTGTTATTTGGCATTATTATTGATAAGTTAATTAACAAAATATTGTGCATGAAATACAGGCATTGACTAGATAATGACAAAATATTGTACAGGAAATACCAGCATTGACTAGATAACGTCTGTAAACTCTTGTGGACAGTTTATATTTTTCAAGACTTTAATTTAGTCTTGTCCCAGAACTTGAGGTATGCGTGCACACCTGTTTTAAGGATCTGGTATATTTGTATATAGACTATTAGTTCCTTGCCTCTCTGGCAAATGCACCCCGACTTCAAAGGAAACACCCATAATTAGTCGACAATTACGACATGCTTGTTGGGAAGGGGGCGGAAAGGGTCATTTTCCCACAATGAGGCTCGGAACCCCCTTAGTAGAAAAAAATATATAATTTGGCAAATTTAGCATCAACATCCTGACAATAAATTGAAACAACTTAAAATAACATACTATTTAAGCAGAAATTAGGACACACATTGACAAGGCAACACAAACTTTTGAAAGCTGAACTTCAAATATTTGTGTATGCGTGCGTGCGTGCAAGCGCGCGCGTGTGTTACTGTGTGTGTATATATTCAAAGTAACTACTTGCTGTAAATTTTCTACAACCTAATAGCTCTTGTATTCTGGTATACATGTCTTATTTTTATCTCTTTGTTCTTCAGTTTCTTTGCATTTATTATTTAGCCAAGTTTCTTTCGCTGCATTATATTTACACACAATATATGCGTAAGTGATACACAATCACTGTTCAAAATAATAAAATGCTTTTTAAAAGATAAGCAAAGTAGATTAACAATGGCAAATGCTAAAAGAGTCACTGCAACAGAAATCACAAGAAATAATACCAGAAGTAAAGAAAACGACAAAGGATTTTAAATCTGTTGAAAATTTGAAGAAAAAGTAAACACAACGAAGACGAAAATGTTGGAATACATAGAAAAATTGTATACGGATAAGGAAATTAAGGAACAGTACAATGTCACTGTACAAAACCGGTATAATGCAATGGAAATTATACAGACTATTGATGAACAGTGGGATATGTTGCGTGAGTCAATTCAGCAGACATCAAAAGAGACAGGAATTGTATGTTGATAATAGACCAAATGTAGAACTGAAAACCAACAATGATGGTCCACCAATAATGATTGCAGAAGTTGAGGATGCAAATACATCATATGAAGAAAGGAAAAGCTCCCGGGCCAGACAACATCTCACTGGAAGAAATCGAAGCACTGGGAGATTTTAGAATTGGAAAAATAACTAAACTTGTAAATAATATTTATAATAGTGGGTATATTCCAAATGACCTTTTAGAATCCATAATTACAGCTCTGCCAAAGAAACCAGGCACTTTAAAATGTGAAGACCATCGCACAATAAGTCACATGACTTATGAGTCACATGACTAAGATTTTACTGAGAATAATTATGAGAAGAATAAGAAACAAAATTTAACCAGAAATCAGCCATGACCAATGTGGATTTGTAAAAGGAAAAGGTACAATTAATGCCATATACATCCTAAGGACATTGTCAGAAACAGCTATATAAGTAAATACTGATTTGTACTTCTGTTTCATAGACTACAAAAGCATTTGACTGTGTGAAGCATGAAGAGGTAATCAAAATATTAGAAAAGTTAAATATTGATGGAAAAGATCAACGAATAATAAAGAATATGTATTGGCAGCAAACCAAGTTTATTCTTATAGCTGCTAAGAATTAAAAACTGTTCGGTGACATTTCAAAGCAAAAAGAGGGGCGTACGACAAGGATGTGTACTGACACCTGATTTGTTTTCAATATACATTGAATATATAATGAGATCTTTAATTGATATGCCCGGAATTGTGGTTGGTGGGCACAATATAAACAATTAACGTTATGCTGATGGCACAGTCTTGATAGCAACAAGCTAGAAAGAACTTCAGGAAATGATAGACATTGCGGTGTTAGAAAGTGGAAGAATGGGCCTCAGTTTGAATAAAGGGAAGATAGAAGTAATGGTGATATCAAAGAAACGAATTATTCCTAAATGTGTAATAAAAGTCGATGGTGTTATTTTGGGACAAGTACAGAAATTTAAGTATCCGGGCTCATGAATAACATCAGATGTAAGATGCATAACTGAGGTAAGAAACAGAATAGGACAGGCAAAAACTGCATTTTATTAAACGAAGAACATCTTGTGCAATATATCCTTGTCATTGAGAGTTAGAAAAAGAATTCATGCTTGCTACATACATCCAATTTTAACATATGGCGGTGAATCCTGGACAATCTGTAGGCAGGCCAAACAATTTCTTGAGGCCTCAGAGATGTGGTTTTACAGAAGAATGCTTAGAATACACTGGACAGCCAAAAAGAGCAACCAAGAGGTTTTGAAAGAGGCGGGAGCTCGAAAACAACTTATCGCAGACATCAGTAGGAGACAGTCATCATTTTTCGGCCATGTTATGAGAAAAGGGAAAATAGAACATGTTGTGACCACTGGAAAGATCTGTGGAAGTAGGGATAGAGGAAGATAACGAGAGAAGATTCTTGACAGTGTTGTTGGGCATGGCATGGAGGTTTGTCGGCTACACGAACTAAATAACAATCTGCAGGGG